GAACATGTAGTAGCACCTAAGGATGCTTTAAAATTAGTAACAATTAAAACAAAACTCTGTCGGTCTTGTTTCAAATTTCAATGCTACTTCCAGTAATGTACAGAAATGGGATGTAAGAGAGATCTTCTATAATGACATCATGACATAATATCACATTAAATGGCATGGTAGTGATGATATTCATTGCTTTTAAAAAAATATTCCTATCTTATGCTGAGAAGTGGATCTCTGCAAAAGCAATATCAAAAAAGTAGAAAATGATCATTTGTGGCAGGATCCAACCTTTGCTGGTGACTGGGACCAGAGGTTTATTCTTCCAAGCTTTTGGACTTATGCTGGAGCCCATCCTCGGAGAACTTCTCTCTCTCCAGAATGGTCATTTGTGCATTTTTACATGGGCCCATAAGAAGTCAAGCAAAATCACAAGTAGTGTGTCTACCTTAAAATATCAGAGAAACACTTCTCAAGCCCTGAACATCTAAGTGGCCAGAACAACAGCAAGAAAAGTCCAATGCCCTAAAACAGTGGTTCTCAACCTGTGGGTCGGGACCCCATTTGGGGTTGATCGACCATTTTACGGGGGTCGCCAAGCAAGGCTGTCCGCCATTTTTTTTTGTCCATTTTTTTCCCCTTTTCCGGCGGGTGCCTTACCTCCCTTGGGCTGGGCCAGCTGGTGGTCGGCCTGTTCCGTCTCTGCCGCTTGCCAGCTACGCCTTGGCCGGTGCAGGGGGCGGAACCACGCATGCGTGGCGCTCCAGGGCAGGGAAAGTCCTCGGCTTACGACCGGTTGGGTAGTCCTCAACTTACGACCGGTTTAGTCCTCGACTTACGACCGGTTTAGTCCTTGACTTACGACCGGTTGGGGTCGCGGCATTAAAAAGGTTGAGAACCACTGCCCTAAAACAACTTTTCCCAGTCTAGCAGCCTTTCATAGTTTTGAGTTATTCTTCCCTGGCTAATGACAGTTGGGGGTAACTTAACAGTTCATTATAACTGGAGGAAAATTGGTTGTGAAAGACTGTCCTACCATGGTAGAGTGTGTTATTTCTTCAAAAGCAAAAAAAATATTTTGATCCCACACAGCCTTATTTGAAAACTCAAGGACAGCAGGCGATAGTTACATGTGGTGCAAGCTTCTCAATGACTGCTGTATTCAAATTCTCTTTAGGTCCTGGTACTCAATTGCCTCTTTAATGTTAGAAGAGATAAGCCACCATAATAAATAGTTAGCTGCCTCTTGTAACATCAGATATGATTATTGTCTTGCTTTCTGTTCTATATTCATGAGCAAACAGCAGTTAGAAAAAGATGGTAATTTAACAGATTTATCTCAAGTCCCAGATAACATCACAAATCCAACTTAGTCTGTGGTGTTTTTGTGCCTTCTTGTATTACCCATGTACCTTTCTAAAGCCCATGGAGAGATTTCAGGAGAGCTATTAATGTGATGAAGATATATTGAATTATTAATTTAAAAGAATTATAAGGCCATCCCTCTCACAATTTTGTACTCTAGACAGAGTACAAAATAAAACTTAAAAAATAAATGCAATGCAAAAACAAAAACAAAAATCCCCCCAAAAAATCAAAGACATAATCAATACATAATTGAGATTAGTGATAAAAACATATTCTGTACACACATCACACAATGGGCTCATCTACCATCTTGGCTCAGAGCACAGGAGAATAGCCAGATCTTCATGGCTCTAGGGAGGGCCAATAGGGTCAAGGCTATCCAATCCTCAGAGTGGGGATGGAGTTGTAGTAGTAGAGAAGGCACATAGCTTACGTCCCATTAGATACTGCTTCAGAAAAGAGACCTGGGGAATGCCCATTCTCTGCAACCTAGTGGGACATTCAGAGATGACAGGGTAGAAGCAGTGCTGCAAGTAACCAGATCCTATGTCATATAGGTCTTTATAGATAATAACAAGTACCTTGAATGGCACTCAGACATCTATTGAGAACCAAACCAGTTCACATTTGCAGTTTCTGGTTGGTCTTCAAGAACAGTCCATGAGAGCACATTGCAACATCCAACTAGGAGATGACTAAGACAAGACTGACTGTAAACTGGTCTCCTGATCCAGAAACTTGATTGGCATAAAACATGGAGTTGTTACTCAAAGGCCCTCTGAGTTGCAGTTGCCACCTGTTCCTCAAGTAGGAGCCATGAGGATCCCAAATTGCAAATTGGCTTTGATTGAGGGAGTGCAATCTTGCCTGGGACCAATAGGAAAAATCTCAAGAGTTGGATTATCCAGTTCTGCCAAATTATCTGGTTCCACTGGATTCAGCAATGGCTTCTTGAGAAGCTGGACTACCAGTTTCTTCAAAGTCTGTGGAATCATATTTTGAAGGCATTCTAAGTGAATGTGTTTTTTTGAACTGTAATTGAAATGTGTGTGAACTGTAATTAAGGAGTACAATTTTCCTTTATCTCCAAACTAAGTTGTAAGTCAAGATGATTAATACTAATTTTTTATAACATAAACACCTCTAAAAATATATCCAAAATTGAGGAATCTCCAATAGTATATAATGAATAGCAGCCTTCCTCAGCCTAGTGCTCTCCAGGGCTGTTAGTCATCAGTATCTATCATGCCCAGTTGGTATATTAAAGTTCACTTATCATATGGCAGGCATCCCTTTGGGTAGGCTGACTTAAAATGAATTGTTTATGTACCATAAACTTACCATATACCAGATTGGAGTTTTGTTGCTTTAGCTCTTGAACAATATCAACCACCATTGCAAGGAATGATTTGTCCCGGGTATAGCCTTTGATAAATTGAGAAGGGAAAATTAAGATTATATAAAACCAGGTTTGTTTAGCTTTGTTTCTATGTGGATACCACTTCTGAATTTTAAATCAAAAGATTAATGTATTTTATATTTGTAACTGTAATGAAGAAAGTTGGAAGTTACCCTTTTTCTATTGCTTTTTGATTTTCCTTTATTCTTTTGCACTTTTTTCCTTTATTTTTTCCTTCTCTTTTTATTCCTTATATTTTATTTTTTGTAGAAATTTAAAGAAGTATATAACTTTCAATATATATTACACAGGATTTGTAATAGTATTACAAACTGTAATCTGTCCCCACAGTAAACATCTCAATGACTGATCTTTTATGAACCATCATAAATTTTCTGAGATTTGGGATAATAACTGCCCGGCTTTACTTTAGCAGTGCTTTGATTTTCCCTATTCAGTAGTTGTATTTGACAAGCTTTCTAAATACGAATGGATATGTAATGATGTTGCCAGTTCTAGATTAATAAATTAACATGCATATATAGATTCTTATAACAAGCCTCTCAACTGTCTTCCCATGTATATTTTCTTCTTTGGTGGAAAGCCAACACAGCAAAAGAGGCTTTTGGCCAGCTCACGTGTGAATTAGCTGAATCATGTTGATTTCTTTGTCTGTGTGAATAGCATAGCGCTAGTGATAATATTCTTGTTTTTATCTTGATTTACTCAGTTAGTCCAGGTGTGGAAGACAGAAAATTTACCAATAGCAAAGATGTCTGGCTTTCACCAAAAAAACACGGCATTTTTCTCAGTTCAGAAACTAAGGTGCTCTTAATTATTTATGTGTGATTTGTTTCCTTTCCATTGTTGAACAATTCAGACAGTTAACTTTTTTTAAAAAAAAAATAGACAACTGTAAACAAATGGTAAAGATGAGACATTTAAATTAGGTACTAATATTATATATGAACCCAGCTTTTAGATTTTGACAGTGCAATGTGACTTAGCCATTCTAGTTTGTAAATCATGGTTTATGACTTACTAGGACACGCAAAATAGTATACTAACCTAATACTGTATAGAATCTGAATCTTTTCAATCTTATTCTCCACCTAAACCAGTGGTTCTCAACCTGTGGGTCGGGACCCCATTTGGGGTCGATCGACCATTTCATGGGGGTCGCCAAGCAAGGCTGTCCGCCATTTTTTTTGTCCGCCATTTTTTGTCCGCCATTTTTTTCCCCTTTTCCGGCAGGTGCCTTACCTCCCTTGGGCTGGGCCAGCTGGTGGTCGGCCTGCTCCGTCTCTGCCGCTTGCCAGCTACGCCTCGGCCGGTGCAGGGGGCGGAACCATGCATGTGCGGCGCTCCCGGGCAGGGAAAGTCCTCGACTTACGACCGGTTGGGTAGTCCTCGACTTACGACCGGTTTAGTCCTCGAATTACGACCGGTTTAGCCCTCGACTTATGATTGGTTTAGTCCTCGACTTACGACCGGTTGGGGTCGCGGCATTAAAAAGGTTGAGAACCACTGACCTAAACTATACCAGAATAGAATTAGAGAGCCAGTGATGTATGCAATCACCTATGGCATATTCAACAGGGGCTCTAAAAGCCCAATTAAATATACTGATAATGACCTACCTAGAGTTAAATTCTGCTAACCACAACGAGTTAGTACAACCACATCACCCTGCCAACAAAAGTGCATATAGTCAAGGCCATGGTTTTCCCAGTTGCAATGTATGGCTGTGAAAGTTGGACCATAAGAAAGGCTGAGCGCCAAAGAATTGAGGCCTTTGAACATGGTGCTGGAGAAGACTCCTGCGAGTCCCTTGGACTGCAAGGTGATCAAACCGGTCAGTCCTAGAGGAGATTAACCATGACTGCTCTTTAGAAGGCCAGATCCTGAAGTTGAAACTCAAATATTTTGGCCACCTAATGAGAAGGAAGGACTCACTGGAGAAGGGCCTAATGCTGGGAAAGATTGAGGGCAATAGAAGAAGGGATGACAGAGAATGAGGTGTCTGGATGGAGTCACTGAAGCAGTAGGAGTGAGCTTAAATGGACTCCAGAAGATGGTAGAGGACAGGAAGACCTGGAGGAACATTGTCCATGGGGTCGCGATGGGTCGGACACGACTTCGCAACTAACAACAACAACCACGAGACATACTGCAAGGTAAAGAGTGGAGCTGCAAAATCAGGCAAGAGATGGAAAAACAAGTTTGCCTTTTTTGAATGAGATCCAGCTTTTCAAGCATCCTCTGTGCACAATGGTTGTTTTTCCAGGATCAGAGACAGCCAAAATAAGAACACCAGGGATATATCCAGTCCCACCAGAAGTAATCTAAAAGTGCAATCAATACTGTCTCAGTTCCTATGGGTGCAATTGCCTATCTATTCTGCCACACTTAAGAACTCAATATAGGTATTGAATATACATTGAGCATATTAACTGAACAAATTATTAATTTTTGGATTTTTTGCTTCATTAAGATCAGCTACCAAAACAATCCAGTTGCACATAGTAACCCAAAAATTTGGGCAACATTTTCAGATCGGCCTGAAATGATACACACTTTCAAGAAAGACAAGTCAAAAATTGGAAGTAAAAAATCTTGATAACATTAAAACATGCAACTTTGTAATATAGGGTATTCTTTAAATTTTATAAAGGTAGGGAAATTCTTAAATGCTAAAGAACCTTCTATGGCTCTTCAGATATTATATTGTGGGACTCAAATGCTCATCAGTCCCAGCTAGAGAGTTGTAGTATCTGGAAAGGTTAAGAAATTCTTTAGCTGGCTAGTGACAGGAAAATGAAAAAAGTCACCTTGCAAAAATCCTGTGAACTTATTCTTATATTTTGTCCACTAACATTTTCCTCAAGGAAAATAACAGAAACGTTTCCCAAGCAAATGGATCTGTTTATGCTGAAAATCCATTTCTACCACAGGGCAGTCTCATTCATTTATATTCAAGAATTTCATGGAAACCAAAGAAGGGGGAAAATAATTATGCAATGCCCTTCATGGCAAAGTAACCTTTAAGAGTTATGATTCCAGACTCACATAATTTACATTTTCCTGTTACCTATAGGTTTAAAAACACCTCTTTTCTTGTAGAAGTTACATAAATCAATTATATAACAATCAATTTCATCTAGCAAGTTTTAAAACAGGACTAGTCACTACAGAAAGGAACATGAATAAAAAGGAAATAAAAGGCTGTTTTGTATTTTATGCAGGGAGGTGAAATCGGGTTAACGATCCATAGAGAGAAAGTGTGAGAAAAAGTGAGATGATTGTAGACAAAGGTTTGTAGTACTTTGCAAACTTTCTACTGTATTTTCCTTTTGAAATATTTTTCCTGGTACTAGTAAATATGCTCATTACTTAGCCATAGTTAAAGCTATTTATGATCGTGCACTCTCTCTCCAGATAAGGGACCCTTTTTGCCTTTATCCCAGTTAAATGTTAATGTACAATAAGATCAATTTTATTCCAGTTTCTAGGTTTTTTTTATCATTGCAACTAAACTGCTACAAAAACCAAAGCAGTAGATACTTTACCAGTAAGTACATAGTCGTAATGATTGACATTGTTCAGTTTCAGTCCTTCATACAGTTCATGAAGTTCATTTGAATTTAATACCTGTCCCTTCCAATGATCATAACCTGAATAAACAAAGAAAACAGAGACTTAGTGCTATTATATAGCAATTGTGATCTCATTTAAAGATAACAAGGTG